AATACAATGCGTTGATAACAAGCATACCATGATAATATTTTAAGTATATGAAAGGAGGGTGAAACAAATTAAAGCCTGTTCCGGATGTGTGGCATAGTAATAGAGGGTGAGGAGAAAAGAAAGATGAAAGTCATGTGGGATGCTGGGGTTGTAGTCTTGCCAAGAATTATTGAACATTTTCGCAGTTTACCAAATCCACAGACAAAGCATTCTAATTAGTGACAGTGGATTCCTAACATGGCTTTCATCGTCATAAGTAAACGCTGCGCAAAACAAAACCTGTTAAATCTGTTAAGTGATTCGGCGATAGTTTCTTTACTAGTAACGATAACCCCATTTACACATAAGCTAAAAAACACTTCTTTTTCATAGTGAAATGCTGCCAGAATTTTGCCAGCAAAATTCTGGCAGAAGAAACAAGTAACAGTCACGTGGCACGAAACGCAGCGCTCATATCTGTCCCTAATACTTGCTTTTAAATGCGAAGCATTTCTTAGTGAAATTCGGCGACATCGAGCATCTATCTATCTATCTATCTATCTATCTATCTATCTATTATCTATCTATCTATCTATCTATCTATCTATCTATCTATTCTATCTATCTATCTATCTATCTATCTATCTATCTATCTATCTATCTATCTATCTATCTATCTATCTATCTATCTATCTATCTATCTATCTATCTATCTATCTATCTATCTATCTATCTATCTATCTATCTATCTATCTATCTATCTATCTATCTATCTGTCTGTCTATCTATCTATCTGTCTGTCTGCCTGCCTGTCTGTCTGTCTGTCTGTCTGTCTGTCTGTCTGTCTGTCTGTCTGTCTGTCTGTCTGTCTATCTATCTATCTATCTATCTATCTATCTATCTATCTATCTATCTATCTATCTATCTATCTATCTATCTATCTATCTATCTATCTATCTATCTATCTATCTATCTATCCGCCTACGACATTTAGCTCTCCTGGCCGTTTCAATAATGGCGTTTTGATGTCATGAATGTCATGATGTACATTTCATGGTCCTGCAGCTCTTGCAGTGGTTTCGTTCGCATGGCATGTCATGTTGCAAAACTGGTATGGTATGACACGATTGCATGGCAAACACAAGCGATAGACCTTAACATGAAAATCATGACATGCGTGCATGTAACAACATAACTACATGCCAAGCTTATGATGTACTCGCAGGCGTTTCGCTATCGTCGCATATACCAAATTTGGTATTAGGATACGGTAACTCCTGATGAAGGTACGTGACTGGTGGAAATATGATAATCATGAGATGTGTGTCATGTAGCAACAGGACTACATGCCACGCTCATGATACGCTATCTAGCTAACTAACTAACTAACTAACTAACTAACTAACTAACTAACTAACTAACTAACTATCTAACTAACTGTCTGTCTGTCTGTCTGTCTGTCTGTCTGTCTGTCTGTCTGTCTGTCTGTCTGTCTGTTTAGCCACCTATGACTTATAGCTCTCCTGGCCGTTTCGATAATGGTATCGATACCAATCTTGGTATGGCATAACATGACTGTATGAAGAACATATATAACTAGTCATATTATGAAAATTATGACAAGTATATCATGTATGTCATGATTTACATTTCGTGATCTTGCTGCTCTCGCGGTGCCTTCATTCACATAAAATTTTGAAAAAACCGGTATGGAATGACATGACTGCATGGCGAACACCAGTGACAGAACCTAGCATGAAATTCTTGACATGTGTCATGCAACAATATGACTACAGGCGACACACATGATGCACTCGCTGCCGTTTCGCTAGCTTTGTTTGACTAATTGATATGTGGGGTTTAACGTCCCAAAACCACCAAATGATTATGAGAGACGCCGTAGTAGAGGGCTCCGGAAATTTGACCACCTGGGTTCTCTAACGTGCACGCAAATCTGAGCACACGGGCCAACAGTATTTTCGCCTCCATCCAAAATGCAGCCGCTGCAGCCGGGATTCAATCCCGCGACCAGCGGGTCGGCGGCTGAGTACCTTAGCCACTAGACTACCACGGCAAGGCTCGCTAGCTTCGCATATACCAAATTCGGTATTACGGGATGTGAATGGATGACGAAGGTATGTGACTGATGCAAACGTGATAATCATTAGATGCGTGTCATTTAAAAAGATGGCTACGTGCCATGCTCATGATGCGCTTGCGGCTGTTTCGCTAGCTTAACATATACCAAATTTGATATTACGAGACGCGAATGCATGACGAAGATATGTGATTGGTGCAAACATGATAATAATGACATGCGTGTCATGTAACAACATGACTACATGCCATGCTCATGGTGTGCTAGCAGCCATTTCGCTAGCTTAACATATACCAAATTTGATATTACGAGACGCGAATGCATGACGAAGATATATGATTGGTGCAAACATGATAATAATGACATGCGTTTCATGTAGCAACATGACTACATGAAACACTCAAGGCGCCAATACACTTAGATGTGACCCGGCGCGCGTGCCCGCCGGCGTTCGTTTAGTCGCGTCACGCCGGCGGTTAAACGCACGGCGGTGATCTGCGCTGCGTTGCTTGAACGCATGCGCGTTTGAGCACGCCCGGCGTCCTTCCATCACGAAGAGAGGCAGACGCAGTGCTGTCTGGGTAATGTCATCGGCGCGAAATGCAGCATGTCGCATTTTGCGCCAGTTGCTGTCGGACCACGCCGACGGATGCCGGTCGCGCCTGGCATCAGACTATAGATTGCTCGCGTTTTGCAAGTGTCTATAGCGTTGATACGCCAGCCGTACGCACGCGTCAACGTTACGTGGGAATATATTAACGTGATAGCGTTAGAGAGCTCCTGTCGCAGAAACCCCACCGGCGGTGTCGTTCCCGTTGGTTGTGAGCGAAAAATAGCCTGTGCGTCTGTGACCGAAAAAGCAAGTTACCGAGATTGCCGCGGGAGGTCACTATATTTGTCGACGCGTGCGCGCGTGATCACTCTGAAAAAGCCACACATTCAAAGAAAAAAAAGTGCTCAAGGTCAGGTCACGAGGCCTGGTAGTTTTCTGTCCCTGCCAGCACTCTCTGCTTAGCTTCCAGCGCTTTCGTCGGGACGAGAGAAGAGATAATGCAATTGCAGCATGCGACAAACCTTTGTAATTTCATTCGCACTGGACGGATTCTTAAAATTTTTGCGGTGTTGAATTCGTGGAGCAATAAGCTCTTCTAGTGAATTCATTTCGTGGTTAGTTGAAAAAGTGTTTCAGGGCCCCTTTAACGCATTTCGTTCGACAGGTGTCACGACGAAAACGAGCTCATTTGGTGATTTATAGGCGCATTTGGGAAGCCTCAAACCACGTTGAAAAAGGCCGGGATAGTGCAACCATTGCCGCTAAAAACACACAGGAACTTTCAAACAGCGCTAAATATGTACAACTATGTCCATCTAGCGGAGAACATATCATGCCTTTCCAGAGGCGTTGATCAAGGAAACAGCAAACGGTAGATAATGTGCTGTTATCTGTGAGACATTGTGAGGCTCTTTATGGCCTCCGAGATGGCGAGCACGCAAAGTGTATCTTGGATGCCATGTGACTCTTGCTTTAGATGAAAATCCTGTATGTACCGTTCGCGCTAACACAACATATTAATAAGTATGCACTTAGTGGTCAAAGGGCACACTAGGGGCCGGATTTCGTGATCTCATTCAACTCTTTAAGGGTCCCCCAAGTTTTTGGGCCTTTCATGATGCGCTCGCAGCCATTTCGCTAGCTCCACATATTCCAAATTTGGTGCTACGTGACGTCAATGGATGACGAAGGTATATGACTGGTGCAGTCATGATAATCAGGACACGCGTGTCATGTAGGAACATGACAACGTACCACGCTCATGATGCGCTCGCGGCCGTTTTGCTAGCTCCATATTTACCAAATTTGGTATCACGTGACTTCACTAGACGAGGAAGGTAAATGACACGTCCTAACATTATAATCATGATATGCGTGTCATGTAAAGCATGACAACATGATGGCATAAAGTGGCATAGCAACCTTCCTCATTCGTGCTTCGCATATCATCAATTCCCACAGTACGTGGCGTCTGCCAATTTTTCTTTTTACACGCCACTGGCGTTTCAGAGTTTCATAATACGAGTGCACTAGAAGAAAATTTTGCTCTAGTGCATTTGGCAGCTGCGCACATGATGCTTCAGCCAGCATGAGAATGATGAGTATAGTACAGACTGATTTGCCTAAGCTTCGTTCTTTGGGCTTCATGGGGCCTTCGTGCGGCCTGGAGCCGCTTTGTCGCATGACAAGGTTTCACAATTGAGCAGTTCCCACCTTGAGTTTTTTAGGCGCACCAATTCAAATTTCAGCTCACGGGGTTCACAACGAGCCGCTTTTTTTCAATTAAAAGAATGACAAAGCGTGATAAAAGTCGCAAGCGCGTTCGAAACCACAAACACTAACACTAAGCAAATCAGTTCTAAAGGGCCCGTACCATGCACCTGAGCGCCAGAGTTCCTTCTCGTAGAGATCGTAATAACAACAGTAATTGTTTCTATTTTACACCCCAAAACCACATGTGGTTATGAGGGAAGCCGTATTGGAGGCATCCGGAAACCTCGATCACCTGGCGTTCTTCAGCGTGTGCCTAATTCAAAGTGCATGGGCTGCTAGCATTTCGTTTTCTTCGAAATGCGGCCACCGCGGCCAGGATTCGACCCCGCTATGCCTTCGGAACAGTAGCTTAGCAACATCACTGCTATAGACCACTCTCCCATCCGCTCGCACCTCACTCTCGACCATTCACTGACTGGGCGCCTCTCAAGGCGATTGCAGAAGTCGGCGAAGGCGAATGACTGATGGCAACGGTACCTTCTCTCGGCGCTAAAAATGCATTCGCATTTCCTCATGATTCCCTTCGGGGAGGTGAAGGCATTTTTTTTCTCTTTAGTGTCACTTTAAGTTTGCTGACGACCATACGTCGCTCTGCAGCAGGAAGACACGACCCGGCGCACGTCCGCCGTGGAGCGGGCCCTTCGCTGGCGGACTGGCCTCTGTCTGTTCCTGGCTCTCGTGGTCTCTTTTTCCGCGCTGCTGTTCGTCTACCTGCTGTTATTCAAGGATTCGCGCCGGCGCGTCGACTACTGCCTCACCGACGACTGCGTGGCGCACGCCGCCGAGCTGCTTAGTACGCTCAACCGGTCGGTCGACCCGTGTCAAGACTTTTACGAGTTTGCTTGCGGGAAGGCGCCAACCAGCAAGGGTGCCAGCGACCCGATCATCGACCGGATGTATCTCAGGTACGTGGTATGTATAAGTTCTGAACTGCACGTGGTGTAACCTCAAACACTCGTGTGTCAATGCATACACCACGGAAGTGGCGCCGTGTTAATGAAAGCTCGTCTTATAACGTGTGAAGAAGCGCACGGAGACGCGATACAAAAGAAAGAAACATTGATACGAAATGTCACCAATTTGCTCAACGTTCATCTTTACTGAACTTCACGAAATTTGCCGTGAAAATGAAAACTCTGCACGGTAAATACACGTTGAGATGAATTTAAAGATTGTACCAAAGTTGCCTCAGGGGAGCCATTCAAACTGGGAACTTGTACAGTTCCGACGCCACTACGACACGATGACACGGCTTAAGTACGACAGCCCTTGAATACGACAGTCCGGGTCCCTGAATTGTTCCGCACTAGGTAAAGGAAAGTTTATTGAACCACTATACCAAAACACTAGACACACACACTAGAACCTTCAAAATCTCGTCAGTATAGTTTATACAAACGCTAGACGCAATTTCACACAGACCTCAACACACTATGCGCGGCTATGGACCGATGAAAAAAAAAGAAGCATATTACCTTTAAAAAACTGAAGAGAGAGAGAGAGAGAGAGAGAGAGAGAGAGAGAGAGAGAAGAGAAAGTGGGGAGGGTCGAGCAGCATTGTGAGTTGGAGGATGCCTTGTTACAATTATTTAACTCACTATGGCGCGACCGGTTCCAGGTTTCCCCCCACGTAATACGATAACCGAGTGTACCAGTTCCTTAAAAAGGCATCACCACCACTTTCATATGCCTCGTCATTAAGTTACCCAAAAACAATTTTACAAATGTATGCAAAACCGGGATTGCTGCTCGCTGTGACTGTAGACTAGTTTCTGCCTGGTGCAGACGTTCCCCTAGAGATAACGTGCATTGCTACTAAAAGTACCAATCGGGCAAACATGCCGTTAATTCTCTGCGATAGGGATGTAGGCTCAACTCCAAAGGTGCGCGAAACAAGGTGCCGTACAACCTCACAAGCAACGCATTCAAATAGTGCTTGCTTAGTGGTCTCAGATCGTCCACAATTAGGGAATTGATCGTTTGGCACAACGTGCCACTTCGCGAGGCGTTGACTTGTCGGTAGCACGCTCCATCCTCTCAGCCAGTAAATTCGCGAAGCACTTAGGGAACTTTGATGCTTTTACAGGTCTTCCATCCGCTTGGGTTCGTTGTTATTGCGATAGATATTATATGGACAGTCTCGGCTGGTTTTTGCTGTCACCGCCACCGCCGTTATTCACGTATATGTATAGGTATACATATACGGGAAAGGATGCGGTAACCTCTTTTTTTCTGCGGAGCGAACATCGCTTTTCCGGCCGGGATCGTCTGTGCGTGCACTTATCTCGTGAGCGAACAAGTGGGTGGGGGGCACTTATATGGTTCCCATGCTATCGCGGCAACGATCAGCGCGCGGCTCTTGCCCTCACAGCGGGAGAGTCTACGGGCTGCGCTCTCAACACGAAAAAACGGTGCCAAAAATGTACCTGGAGTGCCTGTCCACATATAGATGCGCTCTACACATAACAAACTGCCACCAGCGGCGACACATGACGTGTAGCCTTTAGTGCAGGCGCTGTGCACGGGAAGCGCTTTTCATTAACGCCGTCACTACACACGAGCCTTGTTGTGGTCATCTACTGTGGCCGCGCCGCAGGAAACTTGGTTACTTAGGAAGCGCATGTTTACTACAATAATTATTTTCTCCTAAAATACTAGCCTTGCTTCGTAAAACATTCCAAAACGTTGCTATCGCATTCATTGAATCGCCCTTTTGGCGAAACTGTGACTTTTTTTTATCTTCATCATCTATTAGCTCTTCAGTCAGCAAGTAGCTTAAATATATGGACTCTAGTTCTTCCAACCTTCAACCCTCGGTTTTTTGATCTTCTGCGAGTTTAACGTCGCGTGCAGTCTTGTAAAAGTCTAATGGTATCTCAGGTTGCGATCCGGTGTCTCTCTGTGGCAGTTCATATGGGCCCTCAGACACAGAGTAAGGAACAAAAACATTTATAGACACTTACCAAAACACAAATACACACACGTATACTTGCTGAGTACTGCTATATACAATTACTCTTCTCCTATGCTTCAGTCCTTACAGTCCGGTACGCATACGCGAGTATCTCTGCGTCTTGTCTGGTATGGAGTCTATGGGTCCGTAGACGTCACTCACGGTACTGACGGCAGTGCCGCTGACGCAAGATTGTAGCAGGGATGGCTGACTCGACGAGTCAGTCACGAGGCCACGAGCAGACCCAGAGCAGTTCGCCTAGGCATGCGTAACACAGTGCGCTGGCGTAGCACCAAGGCTCCACCCTCCGCAGGCGGTTGTACGGCACGCACGCCAACTCGGCACCGTGTTCATGGCTTCGGTCTCTGGCTCGCACGCAGGAACGGCCCGCAAGACCTAGACCGGAACACTCTCTCGCTGCAGGGAACTGCCAAGCTCGTTCCGGCTAGTCTGGTGGCACTAGTTAGGTCCGTTTGGTCCCCTCAGGCTGAACGTACTGTGCTTCACGGTTCACCGACCATGCTGGTTTCGCCCATCCGCGTTCCAAAGCTCACACGCTTCACGTTGATCTCGCTCTCGCGCGCACTACTTCATTTTATTCAGTTCTGATTTTGGCTGTGAGTCGCTGTGGTCCCTGTTAGTCACTCTTACCGGACACTCTGTCGTAAAAGTATCCTTCAGAGTACTTGTCCAGTACACTAGAATGCTCCTAACTAGGTATTCTGGATCACTGAGAGACAACATTTCTTTATTTAAAAATTATACCATCTTCCACTAAATTTACTTGGTGATGCTCCTCAAATCACTCGTAACACCTGCTCAAACGCACGAGGGCAAAATGTAACGGTAAATGAAAGTTGCAGGTGTGTACGACACCATTCGCGTAACTGGACAGCCCCAAACTCGGTACAGCAAAACTAATGATAGAGCGGTCGTTCAACGCTGCGCGTCCTACATACTTGGACATATAGGTTCATGTTTCAACCATATAAAAGTCAATTAAAGGATAAATAAAAAATCACAGCATATTTACGGAGTGCAAGATGATGAGTGGGGCGAAGCGTCTATCAGTCCATCCGCGCGTCCATCCTTCCATCCGTCCGTCCGTGTGCCTGTGTCTGTCCAGCCGTCCGTCCGTTTGCCCGCCTGTCTACTTGTCTGTCTGTCCGTCCGTGAATCCGTCCGTCTGTACTATCTCGCATCTTTTCATCATATTGTGATTATATAAAAGTACCGCCATCTAGCGGACATTGCAAGAACTAAACTCTCCTGTGGCACATACCAAAGAGAGGTGGTTACTACAGAGGACAATCTGGAGACGCCTTAAGGAGCTCCGCCCGTAAAAGGAAATGGGGGTAAAATATGGCGTACTGCTGGAGAAAGCCGAACGCACGTTACATGCGCCATACACTTTACCAAGTAAGGTCAATAACGCCGTAGGATTACCGATGTGCTTCGGCGTGTGACATTTGTGCATGCCTGCGTGGGAGCGCCAAGTAAGTATGTTTTGGGAACGCGAAACTTGCCAATATGAGGTCATTGTTGGATTTATTATATGCAGGGCGTCTCACGTTGAACGTTATAATCCTTTTTTTTTTGGAATCACCGGTGGCATGTGGCATAAATCTATAGCGTTGTATTTATCGTCGATGCGAACGATACTCACACTGGAGGTAGAAATTGATCTATTTACCTACAAGTGAATCTCACTAATATGGTTTTACCGAACTATATATCAGCGCGTATATATATATATATATATATATATATATATATATATATATATATATATGTGTGTGTGTGTGTGTGTGTGTGTGTGTGTGTGTGTGTGTGTGGTGTGTGTGTGTGTGTGTGTGTGTGTGTGTGTGTGAATGCGATGCAAGAAAATAGTCCAATAGTCCAGTAGATTTAACAAGACCCATGAATCTGGAAAAATTTCAATACTAGCACGAAAATTGTTGTGGTGAAAATGCACTTGTTGCAGTTCTTTAGGAAACTGGGCGTTTTGAAATTTCCCAAACGAATATATCGTGTAATTAGCCGGTGCCATGCTACTTTCGAAGTGGCAAAGTTCGGGTCGGGGCTGGTAATGCATCGTTAAGCAATAGACTGTACACGTTAATTAGCTATGCTTCATTTTTTTTTTAAAAGAAAGTCTTGCTTATTTTCTGTACGATAAATATCACCCGTCCCCCAGAAAGCAATCTCGCTAAACAATAGCACTGAGCTTTCTTACATATGCCACGTGGGGTACTTTGAACCTTCCGTTAACTATTTAAAAAAAAAGGCATCCTACAAGCATTCCCTTCAGGTGGTATCTGTGGCAACCCCTGGCGTAGGACTCTCGCCGGTGGCGTCAGTGCGCTCGAAGGAACAGAAGCCGTGGGTTCGAAGCTCACAGCCCAGCTACTCTACCAGAGCTGCGTCAACCCGGACCGCAGTGACACTGAACGCAACCTCGTCGAGTTCCGCCAGTTCCGTGCAGCCCGTGGCATGCGCTGGCCCGAGGAAGAGCAGCTTGCCGACGGCGTGGACCCGCTAGAACTTATGCTCGACCTGGCCGTCAACTGGAACCTCAACTTCCTCTTCGACGTGCGCGTCATCGGTCTACCGACGGCCGCGACCATGGACGTCGCGCTGATGCTCTCACGTGGCAGGCTGAGTTACGTCTGGCGGGACGATGTCCACAGGTTCACGTCAGCGGCCGAAGAGTACGAAAACTACGTGAGCGAATACTGCCAGGTCCTGTCGGTGCCACCGCAGTCGTTGAACGTTACGGCGGCGGTGCTACGGCACCTGGAGGACACCATCCTGGAGGCCAAGCGTAACGTGATTGCCGATGGTTCTGAGCAGGTACGAGGAATTAGGACGCGGGCTACTCGGGAACCGTACTGCTAGTGGTCAGGACAGGGAAGGAAGTGGAAGGTTCCAGCAAGCTAAGGCATCAGCAGAACAGGAAAAATGCACCAGTCCTGGGCGTTCTTCATTTGGTGCTCGTGTCATAACGTGCAGTAAAGCTTCACTTTTCAACTATAAACCAAATGGCCCATAAAATCACACTGCTTAAAGACAGAGATTGATTGATTGATTGATTTGTGGGGCTTAGCGTTCCTAAACCACCATATGATTATGAGATACACCGTAGTGAAGGGCTCCGGAAATTTTGACCACCTCGTAGGTGTAAGTTGTAGTAGCCACTTCTAATTAGTTTTAAGAATTGCTCACTAGATGACGTTGTGTGTATATGTCCTTGAAAATAATGACGTTAGTTGTTTTCGATGATGAGTAGAGGGAAGCGTCCATCCGTCCTTACGTTGCGTGCTCTAGAACGCACGGACGGACGCTTTGCCCCACTCATCATCATTCCATCCATGAATATGCTGTGAATGTTATTTTATATGTATGATGGCGTGAGTGCTGAAAAGCGACCTGTTGCTTTGCGCTTTCTCACAGAACACACACACGCCCACACACACTGGGCGAACGCCGTATACATCTGTCAACCGAAAGTTACTGAAAAAAAAACAGCATATTCCAAGGAGTGAATGATGATGTGTGGGGTGAAGCTTCGGATGGTTTTATCGGTAAACCTTTAATTTTCCGTTCGTCCATCCATCCATCTGTCTGTCTGTCTGCCTGTCTGTCTGTCCGCACCAGCTGAGGGAGTCATAGAACTAGGCGGTCACGCACCAAGAGAGACATGCATGGACCCACGGCTTAAGGATCTTCGTCCCTAATACTAGCTAGATTGCAGTAACCTAATGACGACCTCTATGCGCGTATAATGTCATCACACGAACGGTGGTATGGTGAAACATTAAAATACTTTAGGGACTTCAGGGGTGAAGCTGCTTAGGGTGTGGGTCGTTCTGCAGTCTGTCGTCGTCGTCGTAGTAGTAGTAGTACTAGTACTAGTAGTAGTAGTAGTACTAGTACTAGTAGTAGTAGTAGTAGTAGTAGTAGTAGTAGTAGTAGTAGTAGTAGTAGTAGTAGTAGTAGTAGTAGTGGTGGTGGTTATAGCAGCAGTAGTGTGTAGCCACTCTAGTTTATGAATCGCTCAATAGATGACGTTGTGTGCTCATGCCCTTGGAGACAATAACACTAGATAACGTTAGTGGTTTTCGTATAGTTGAAAGACACATATGTAGAGACAGATGAACGGATGAACGGATGGACGGATGGACGGAGATGACAGACTGATAGATAAATGGATGGACGGACGCTTCAGCCCGCTCATCATCATTCATTCCGTGGATATGATGTGAATTTTTTTTAAAATTCAGGCCTGATCCGGCAATTCCAGGCCTGGCTTTGAAAATGTTGCGGGGAGGCTTACTCGAAGTGTTATTCATTGTTGTGAGGTAGCAAAAACAAATCTCCAGGCTGCATCTTAAAAATACAGCAGGTAATACCAAAGAGAAGAGAACATTGAACAGGGCAGAGTAAGGGAATATTTGAGGGGGAAGAATGAGCAGTAGAAGCGGACTCCACCCCTGACGAATCCAGAAAAAAAAACTCTTGTTCTCTTTTAGAATGTTGTTCTTGCTGCTAATATATTTCGCAATGTTTCATTCTTGGGTGATGAATTCTCGCGATTGGTGGCTTGGGGTCGTTCTTGGAGTTTCTTGATTTTTTTGTTGAGTGTTGATTTAAACTTCTCTTCCGAAATGTGTGCTCTGCAAAAATAAACTGTAAAACTTAAGATTACTGCCCCCCCTCCCGCGCCGTTAGTGTCAAGTTGAATTGGATAGTAGCTTGATGTGGAGTAGGTACGCCGAGTTGGAATTAATCTGGCGTTTTGTTTCGTTTTTTATTATATATTTATATATTTAGTGGATTTTAATATTGAAAGAATGTCGAGTTACTTATAATAATAGTGGTTTATTTGTAAGTATTCATTAAAGTTTTCTTAAACTTCGGAGATGTAATGGCATTCTTTTACGTCTCAGAAAGAAAATTATACGGTCCTTGATAGAGTCCGACTCTTCGTTAGTGCACAATGTATACATTTTTGCTTAGAATTGATTTTCACAGTTCTTGCTTCAACAGTTTTTTCCGTCTTCTTTATTTATGTTTCATTTCATTTCTTCTTCTTTCTTTTCTCCTTTTTTTTTCTCTCAATTACTCTTGTTGTCTCTTTTGTTTTTATTTTTATTGTTTTTTTGTCGTTCTGTTCTCGCTCTCCTGTCGTTTTTCTGAACTCTGAGTGATAATGGACTCGCAACCAAATCTGAAAGTGGCTATGATAGTTAGCCAATTAGACGTGATTTGCATACGTGTCAATGCGAACGAGCCACTGATTGAAGACATGGTTTCTTGAGACGCGCACATTATTCGATTATAAGCTGTTGGAAATGTTACCGCAGTGCTTCACGCGTGTTTTCTTTGTTGTGGCCTTACTTAATTTTGTAACGTTGTAGGCGCAAGAATGCAGACACTGAAGATGCAAAAGACAGCACCTACGGGCTAATATCTCCGGCAAGAACCGTTATCAGTGTGAGGGCTGTAGATGGTCTCGCGCGCCTTGTGAATCTATGCCCTTGTGTGCGCTGAGTATACGGCCACACACTAAGATATGCGTAGCCATTTTATTGACTTTTTTGTGCTGCATAGCTTAACAAGTAGGCAATCTAGCCTATCACGTCACTGTGCACCACAGAGCAACGTAGTAACGCCTATTTTGCTGAGCTAGCGTGTACAGTAGTCAGCATGCTTGACTTGTATGCTGCGAGGCGTGTCCTGAAACGGTTTGATCTGCACTAGCGCCGCGTAGCTTTGAGTTTTGTCACTGATATGTTACGACTGCATGTCTACATGCTATCCAAGCAAACCGAGGTATTATCACGCCAATAGCGCCCAGCTCCTCGCGGCTGGCATCAATAAAACCAGTCTAGGTCCCGCTTCGAGGCGTTCCAGTTAAACTTGATGAGGACTGCCCCTAAATTTTTGAACGATTTCGTCCAGCGCCAGCCAAGAGCTCATCGCTAGAGGTTGGTGATTGTCTTATATCAGTTTGCAAACTGAGTTGCTGGCGACTCATTCTCTTCAGTAGTGCTACGCTCTTCCATAAAACCAAACTCTGAAGTGCGAACCGTACAAGCAATTCAGCTGAAGGAAGCACAAAGATAGAGAGGGCACTCCTTCAAGTTCATCGGCGAGAAAATTGAGTGGTCACGGTGAAAAGCCTGCCTTGCAAGGGTCTTCTCCATTCCAGGTTCCGTTGCACGATTCACGTTTTTAGTTTGTGGACGAAGTGTTGTACTTAAAAAGTGACACCACGCGTTTCCGTTGTATCTTCCCACTACACGAGGCGCATGACCGCTTTATTTCGCGTACATTACTCCGCCTTGCGGGGATGCATGAAACTGACTCGCCCAGATCATTCCGCCTGTACAATTCGATCGCGTCATTTCTTTTCGAACAGTCTTGGTTCCAGTTTAGCTCCCTGGGCAACGAGACACCCTCAGTCGAACCGAGTGCGTGGCTGACGCTGGTCAACAAGCACTTCGCAGGTCAGTTCGTTTGGACCAACGAACACTGGGTTATCGTCGACGGACCAGCGGTGCTCAGCCACGTCGAGCAACTGCTGAAGATCTACGGCAAGCGCCTGCTAGTCGTGGGCCTCGCCTGGGTCTTCATACAGTCGCACCTGTGGGTTGTCTCGAACAAGCCCGAGCTAGCCTTCCGGGAGAAAGGCGTCGGACACCGCAGATACGCCTGCTTCGAGTACGCGGAGTCGCGGTTTGGTCTGCTGAGCGTGGTCGAGCTCCTGGCTGATTCGTTCGGCACGGAGGACTTGAGACGCCGCCTTACCCAATTCGAGAACACGTTGAAACTCGCCGCTTTTAGGAAGCTGCGTGATGCCGCATGGATCCAAGACCAGGCTAAGGAGAAGGCGCTACGCAAGGTGGACAGGCTGTCGCTCGTGCTGCTGCCACCGACCCAGTTCTTCGACAGCAGTTGGCGACAGAAACTGGAAGACGGCTACGCTGCGGCGGAAACGGTAGGCTCCCTTTCCGGAGTAGTCACGAGGCATATATTGGGCGCGTCTCAAATTCGCGAGGACGCATATATTAGCTAGATGTGAAGCGAAACGCTGAATCAGTTTAGACCCGGTAATAAATTGCTCTTTGAGAGCTATGTTGCTGCTGGCTTCGCAGTTGTATGTTCATCACGAAATGAGATGATCAAATTCATTGTGCCATTTTCGCATTTCGAGCCAGAACCTCGATCAGCACCTGTAAGGCTAATGCGACGTCATGGACTTCAAAGTCTTGCCCCCCCCCCCCCCCCCCACGTATCTTTACTAGTTCAGATTGACGAGGTTGTGGTAAATGTCTGGCCCCTGGGAACACAATACCGTTTATTTTTACAGATCAATGATTCAGTAGCCTCCAGAAGGTCCTTATATTTACCGCGTCCTGGCGAGGTGGTAAGGGATATCAATGAACCGTTGCCTCTGCACTTTCTTTTTGCGCATCGTCTGGCTCGCTACGCGTCTCAGTGAAAGAATGGCAATTTTGCTATTGTGAAAGTCACAAGAGTGCGCATAGTTCCTTATTAGGATTGGTGCGAAATATTACCGTCACCTGAGGTCGTAGGTTCGACCCCGGTGATATAGTTTTTGGAGTTTTTACTTGCTATCTGTTAGTGTGCGTTTTACAACGTCCCATCCATAACGGAAACACGGCAGTGGAGCCGTGCTGAACCCCGGCGCAAATCATGTTCCTGTTAAAAAGCGAAAAAAAAAAGTGATGACGTGCTTTCCAGGGCTTTCTGAGGGTGAAAATGGTTAGGTGACAGCTGTTGAATTGCAGATACAGTAGTCGTCCTCGGCTGCCAGTATCTCATGTGTACAAGTGTATTTGATGCTCCTTTTCTATGCTTAAAGGTAAACCGCAAATTGTTGTGACAGTGTCACGGCTCCGCTAAGCGATAGTGGAACAGGCATTACTCTGTAAAGGTAGACTTAGTGCCCCCTTTAAATCAACCAGGGGAGGGGCTGCCTCTTCTCTCCTGGCACCCCTTGTGCTCATGACAATTGTGAAAGCGTAGTTCAGCAATACGACAGAAATCGTGTTTGTTCTTTGTGTCCTTTTCCACAATCGAAAATAACACTTTGGGCTGTGTATCCGTTAGGCACATAGCAGGCGATGCGTGGATTCCTTCCCATTAGAGCGAAAAGCACGCGTTCCCTATGCAGAGACAGTTTCAAGGTCACAAGCGTTGTACCCCCAAAAAAACTTCCTGCCATCTCATTTACCAGCTCCTAACGGCGAAACTAAAAGCACGTTTTTTTTTTCTTTTTTTTTCAAGGAATAAAAAGGTATCTCATGTTAGGTTCAAGGGAATGTCTTTTAATTTTTATGCAGCTCAAAAGAACATCTATTTGAATATATTGTGCCAAATAAGTGGAGAAAAGTGTATAAAATGAGCGGGATATTTTCTAAATCTCTTCTTGCACATCGATACTCTCAAGGCACATGAATGGACGAAACCGGATGCCATCAAGGGTGTGTGTTTGTAAACAGGGAAAGGGTCTATAGAAGGCAAATGAGCATTAGGACCCTGATGTTGGGCACTATAGGATACTGTTCTAACTAATGCATTTGCTCGGCGCGGAGGGAAAATTGCCTCTAGGGAGAAAGACCATGCACGTGCGGGGGCATGCAGGGTTGAGCATGGCATGTGAAGGGTACGATGGCTAACCCCGCAAACCTTGGCAGCGTGACCGGTTGAGTGCCGGCTTTAGTATTACCTACATATTTATTGTGCACCTGTAACAGCTAATTTTTCCCTCAGTTGGCATTGTTTGCTTAGATAGAAGGGCTGCACAAAACCTGCTTTTTACGCACCGAAAATCCCGATGTCATTATGATGTTCGCAGTCTGGACGTATATATACATATATATATATATATATATATATATATATATATATATATATATATATATATATATATATATATATATATATATATATATATATATATATATATATATATATATATATATATATATATATATATATGTGTGTGTGTGTGTGTGTGTGTGTGTGTGGGTGTTGTAACGGGCTAGTAACAGGCAGAGAAGACAGAGAAGAGAAGGAGAAGAAGACGAAGAGTCTTGGCAAGATCGCAGTGCGCTGCCGCGAACGACCATCGCTCACCTCTTGTAAATAAAGCCATTTCATCACAGCTCGCTGTGACAGTTGTGGTGGACGTGCTGGGTAATCGACACTCGAAGACGGAGGCTGAACCGCAAGTTTTTCGACGGAGCCGTCGCCTTGCTGGACTTCCACCGAATCCATCTGGGCTGTACATGTCCCACATCGCAAATGAGCACCAACCCCTCTCGACTTCTGCGTCGACCAGTTTGGCTCCACAGCTGAGAGATTCTCGACCCTTCGCCGGCAGACCAGACGAAGACGTCGAGGCTTGGCTCATCCATTACAAACGGGTGAGCGCCGCCAACAAATAGGATGCCGCTTCTCAGCTTTTGTGCGTCGCGTTCTTTCTGACGGATACTGCATTAATGTGGTACGAGAATGGGGAGGAAACGCTGACGACGTGGGACAGATTTGTTTCTGAGATTAAAGAGCGTTTCGGCGACCGAACAACGAAAAAGAAAAGAGCAGAACAGACACTAATGCAACGCGCTCAAGTGCCAGGTGAAACTTGCACGGCGACCGAACAACGAAAAAGAAAAGAGCAGAACAGACACTAATGCAACGCGCTCAAGTGCCAGGTGAAACTTGCACGACCTAAATTGAGGAAGTAATAAAGCTATGTAGGATCATTGAGTCCAGAATGTCTGAGGAAGACAAAGTCGGGCACACTCAAAAAGGAATCGCCGAGGATGTTTACAGTTTCCTCATCGCGAAAGACAAAATGACATCTGTCGCCAGTGTCATTCGCTATTGCCGCTCTTTTGAGCAACTAAAGACGAGGTGCATCACGCCGAAGTTCGGCAGGCTAGCCGATGTGACGACTATCGCGAGTATAGACAGCAACCAGGCGCTTGATCTTGCATCAACAATTCGGCAAATAGTACGCGAAGAACTCCGCCTGTACGCGCAAGTGGCACACCAGCCAAGCAATCATCCCCCCCTTCCTGCCAACAGAGTTCGAGCGAAACATTGCTTCATTCTCCTTGCACCGAGTGACGCAGGGCATTGAGGATTCTAATACCACACCTCAGTATCAGCCACGTCTCTACGATAGAGGCCCTGCCTATTACTCTAGATCACGACGAGGACAGCCGTGTTCTTATACTCAGGACTCTCAGCCGGACTACGTCCCGCTGCGGCAAGGACAGTACCGACCCTACTACCAAGAAGCAACTTACGACGAATACAATGGATTCCAGAAAATGGCAGAAACCCGTTCTTCGCCTGATAGCGAACTTCCTCGCCGACAGCAGCGGCCCAGGATTCGTTCCGATGAATACAGTATAAACCGTGACCCTACCATGTGCTACAACTATGGTTTCACTGCGCCTATCTCTCGGTATTGCCACCAACAACGCTGCCAATTACGAAGGACACCAGCCCTGTCTTCGCCACCAAGACCCGGTGCTTCATATGACATGCGGACAACCAACTTGTTTCCGAGGGACCGTTTTTCGCGCGAGACTAGACGCAGCGATTCGCCAGCATCCGAGCGGAGTTTGACAACACCATCCAACCGTTCTCGTCGCTCGCCGTCTCCTCTGCGTCGTTCTTCTCCGCCGCCGCCGCCGGGAAACTAGCATCCGCGGCCAATGGAGGTGAGGTCGCCGGATGGTCTTTTCAAGATATACCTCTGCCTTTTGTGATGCTGAAAAAACGAAGTGAATGTGTTGATTGATGGAATACCGACGATGGCGTTAGTTGACACTGGGCCTACTGTGTCTATGATGAGCCTCGCCTTCAGAAACCGCTTAGGTCACAAAGTTATGTTTTCATGGAACGATACAATCACCTTTCGTGGTGTAGGTGGCGAGTGGCTTAATCCTCTTGGTGTATGTATTGTCAGTGTTTCATTGGCTGGAAAAGTATTTGTATCCGAATTTATGGTTCTATCTCGTTGTTCACACGATGTAATTCTTGGTATCGATTTTCTGGAGCAATGCGGTGCTTCCGTCGACTGTGGTAGTGGGGAAATATCATTAAACAATTTGTTTCTACCGTCGCTTTCCGAAGAAGACTATCGCGGCGAAGACAGGAACACACTTAGTGTGATTGATGAAGTGATAGCACCGTCTTGATGCCTGACACCCGTTCGAGTCTCTTCCACAACGGTTGATGCTGCTTGTGTTGACCTCGTAGTGGGGCCTCTACGCATGAACTGTTCTAAGAAGGTCATACTTGTACCCTGTTCTGTTGTGTGCATTAAAAAAGGAGTACCAACATTGTGGGCGCTGAACTGTTCTGCCATGCCGGTTGTGCTTCCTCGCGGGATGAAGATAGCTGTCTTCAATGAAGCCTCGTGCAGCTCAATAGCAGCACTAGTTACGGACCTCACCACCCCTTCCTCTCTTTGTGATATTCGCAATAATGAAAATCTAATGCTTCGTATGATCAGCAAGACTCTCAGTACAATGGAACGGCAAGCGCTGGTGCAGGTCCTTTCTCGGTATGTTGCCGCTTTCGACTTCAAACATAGAGATGCACCCCTTCAGTTACCCTCGTCCCGTGCTCATCACAGAATATACACCGGCTCTGCATACCCCATCCGCCAAAAGCCCTACCGAGTGTCATCCTCTGAGCGCAAAGTTATCGCTCAACAAGTAAAGGACATGCTGAACAAAGGTGTCGTGCAAGAGTTGTCCAGCCCGTGGGCAGCCCCGGTAATTCTTGTCAGGAAAAAGGATGGTTCCTGGAGATTCTGTGTAGATTACAGCCGTCTAAACACTGTGACGAAGAAAGATGTATATCCTTTACCGCCGATTGATGACGTCATAGATTGCTTGCACGCCGCTTCATATTTTTCAACGCTTGATTTGCGGTCCGGTTATTGGCAAACACCTATGAAAACCAGCGACAAAGAAAAGACTGCTTTCGTTACTCTGGATGGCCTATTTGAATTTAACGTCATGCCTTTTGGCCTTTGTAGTGTTCCAGCCACCTTTGAAAGATTTATGGACACAGTATTACGTGTTCTAAGATGGAAGATATGCATGTGCTACCTTGAAGGTGTTGTGATCTTTGGCCATACGTTTGAGGAACACAACAACCGTCTCAGTCTTGTTCTCGACTGCATCGAAAAAGCTGGGTTGGTTCTGAATTAAAAAAAAAACGTCGCTTTGGCGAACGTCAAACTCTGGTGCTGGGGCACTTGGTCGACAAGGATGGCGTCAGACCCGATCCTCGCAAGACAGAAGCAGTGAGCTCTTTTAAACCACCACAATCTGACGAAAAATTCGCTCATTTGTCGGCCTATGCACATATTTCTGTCGTTTTGTTCCACGATTTGCGGAGATCGTATACCCGCTGACAAGCATCTTGCGACAGGATGCAACATTTAACTGGACACCAGAATGTGACGCCGCATTCTCACAACTTAAATTTGTACTAACGTCAGCTCCACTGTTGCGTCACTTAAATCCATATTGCCCGACTGATGTCCACACGGACGCTAGTAGTATCGGCGTAGGAGCGGTGCTTGTACAACGTCACAATGGCGCAGAGCATGTCGTGGTATATGCCAGCCGATGTCTGAGCAAATCTGAACGCAATTACACAGTTACGGAACAGGAATGTCTGGCAGTTGTTTTCGCCGTACAAAAGTTTCGTTGTTATCTTTACGGGAGGCCATTTAAGATAATTACCGATCACCATTAGTTATGCTGGCTGGCTGGTTTGCGTGACCCCTCTCCTCTGGCCGCCTCGCACGTTGGGCGCTGCGACTTCAAAAATACGACTATACGGTGTCGTACAAGAGTGACCGTCGTCACGCTGACGCAGACTGCCTCTCCCGGATTCCTCTTGCGACTACCGACTGCGATGCTGAGAATTTTGACGACTACCTTGCCGCTGTTACAAGCACGTTCCCCAACGCGGCTTACTTCCAGAGAGAACAACGTAACGATCTCAACCTGGATCCTCTTTTTGCCGCCGCACGTGCCTCCCAATACAGCGGTCGCTTTACGGTCCGAGACAAATTGCTCAAAACTAACTACTCCAGACATGCAGGGCGTTTTCTTCTAGTTGTTCCCGAGAGCCTTCGCTCCGATGTTCTACGTGCTTTGCATGACGATGCGACATCCGGTCCTTTCGGCTTCATACGAACGCTGAACCGTACGCAGGAACGCTTTTACTGGCCCAAGATGTACGAAACAACGAAACGTTACGTCGCTAGCTGCGAAACGTGCCAACGTCACAAGCGCCCGGCCACCGCTACACCAGGTCCCCTTCAGCCAATAACACCACACAGCACGCTTTTTGAACAAGTAGGAATTGATATTATGGGTCCATTTCCATTATCTAACAATAAGAACCGTTGGATAATCGTCCGCGTAGATCATCTTACGCGGTACGCCGAAACCGCAGCCATTCCCTCTTCTACCACAGCATCCGTGGCAGTCTTCCTGCTCCGCTCCGTGGTCCTGTGCCATGACCCACCGCGTGCTATTATCAGCGACCGTGACCGTCAGTTCACTGCTGATGGCGTTGAAGAATTACTACACATGTGCACGACACAGTTCCGTCATTCCAAACCGCATCATCCGCAGACGAATGGCCTCGTCAAATGGACAAACAGAACGCTGGCCAACATGCTTGCCATGTACGTTTCTTTCAATCACAAGAACTGGGATGAAGTGCTGCCTTTTGTCACGTACGCCTACAACACGGCGAAACATGAAACAACAAACTTCAGCCCATTTTATCTGTTGTACGCCAGGTTGCCACTAAGCCCTCTAGACACTTTCTTACCCTTCATTGTACACAATGACGACTCTGTATCGAACACCCTGTGCCTCGTGGTAGAAGCCCGTTGAATCGCTCGTCTTCGAACTCTGGCCTCTCAACGTCGTTCGAAGGAACGTTACGACGACCGTCACGAACCAGTATTATTCAAAAAAGGTGACTTGGTGCTGCTTTGGACACCGCAACGCAAGCGTGGATTGTATTAAAAGCTTCTGTCACGATATTCAGGCCCATTTGTAGTTTTGGAGCGTCTCAGCCAGCTCACTTACGTAATAGCTCGTCTTTTGTCCAATGGTCGACGATCGAGCAGAACGCAGCTCACTCACATTGCTCGCCTGAAACCGTTCTACCCTCCGTGTGCATCATAACTCGCCCTACTGGCTTCGTCTGCTTGCGGGGGAATGTAACGGGCTAGTAAAAGGCAGAGAAGAGAAGGAGAGGAAGACGAAGAGTCTTGGCAAGATCGCAGTGCGCTGTCGCGAACGACCATCACTCACCTCTTGTAAATAAAGCCATTTCATCACAGTTCACTGTAACGATATATATATATATATATATATATATATAGTGGGAGTTATAATGCAATCGGCCAGTTAGTCTTCGTGAAGGTATGGGATATGGCACAACGGAAATTGGTGACAAAGATTGATAGCTGGAGACCATGCTTTTTTCTGACTGACTCGTACGTGTACACTGTCCTTTCTTGTTTTTTGTTTTTCTTTTTTTCTTCCTTTTTTTCTTTTTTCCCCATGTACATACAAAGTGTTTACGTTCGCCTACCACTTGATGACCATTGAAGGGAAACGGACGAAGATTAAAGGTAAATAGCCGACCGACCCATTAACGGGAAACCCTTCCTTTACGCACGCCGCACGCCGACCGACCCATTACGGGGAAACCCTTTCTTTACGTACGCCGTCACGGACCCTCCTGGCACCGCGGCGACAATCTTGGGTGGCCCGACACACGTCGAGAACTGAACAGCACGTGATATGAACCGTATGTGGACGTACACGGACAGTTGGTTTCGTTCTCAGTGTTGACAGTGGTTCGATTGATTGATTGATTGATTGATATGTGGGGTTTAACGTCCCAAAACCACTATATGATTATGAGAGACGCCGTAGTGGAGGGCTCCGGAAATTTTGACCACCTGGGGTTCTTTAACGTGCACCCAAATCTGAGTACACGGGCCTACAACATTTCCGCCTCCATCGGAAATGCAGCCGCCGCAGCCGGGATTTGAACCCGCGCCCTGCGGGTCAGCAGCCGAGTACCTTAGCCACTAGACCACCGCGGTGGGGCGACAGTGGTTCTTCCTCTTTTTTACTTTCCTTCTTTTCTTTCTTTTTCTTTTTCGTCTTTTTCTCCCCCTTTTTTGTTTTTTTCCCTTTTTTTAAGTTCCCTCTCACTCTCGCAAACATCTTTCAAGGCGAGAGGGACGCGGCAGCAACGAAGTTTGGAAGTTCATGTCAGTATAACTCATACCCTGATGAAGGGAGGACCCCTCCCGAAACTGTTGGGAAATAAATATATTTATCCTTGTTGACAACGCTCCCGTCGTGCCATATCCCATACCTATATATATATATATATATATATATATATATATATATATATATATATATATATATATATATATATATATATATATATATATATATATATATATATATATATATATATATATATATTGAACATGTGCTGTTCCTTAGCGTGCAGCTCAATTCAATTATACGGGCCTCTAGAATTTCACCTCCAAAATACATACGCCATGGCCGCTATTTTTCCCCGTGACCATAGGATCAGCAGTGAAGCACCATAAGCATTAGACCAAACTCAGAGGCAGTTTCATAGATTTATATTGTAATATTCATATTATAGTATGCATATTATGCACACCTTTCCAATCTCGCAACTACCATTTTTGTGTACTTTCAATGATCTTGAGGTGACTTAGTTCCTCAACCTTTCTACAAAGGAACAGCGTCGTCATACTCGCATTTTCAGAGCACTGCGTTTTTGCCTGCCTTCCTGCTTTACTCCAATTTTCATTTTTCACGATCCCGCAGAGTTTCGTCAGCAACCTCCTAAACGCCTCGCGCTCCTACCGCACCCTTCGCTCAGAGAAGTTCGCATTCGACGAGGTCTACAGCAGGCGCATGTTTCCCAGCGAGCGCCCGGCCACGTATGTGTACCTCGCCAACCACGCGGACGTATCGCTGGGTTCGGTCACGGCACCGCTCTACTACCCCAGAGGAACGTTCTCCATCAACTATGGTGCCCTGGCCTCGGTCTTGGCGGCTCAGTACGCCAGCAGCTTTGATACGCGTGGCAGCGGGCTTGACGAATCCGGAACGCCAACGCGGTGGTGGAAGCAGGCCGAGTACGACGACAGGGCGGAGTGCGAAATCGGAACCTACGAGGACAACCACTCGGCGCTCCACGCGTTGCACGTAAGGAATATGGCGATCTGCGCGAATGATACTTGCGATAGCAATTGTAAGCGAGAGTCGAGGCACGTTTGCCATTGCTGTCATGTTCCGTAAAAGTGCAAAATACATACATACATACATACATACATACATACATACATACATACATACATACATACATACATACATACATACATACATACATACATACATACATACATACATACATACATACATACATACATACATACATACATACATACATACATGTATACGTAGATGCATACGCACATGCATACGTGCATACATACATACATACATACGTACAAACATACATACGTACGTACGTACGTACATACGTACGTACATACATACATGCGTACATACATGCATACATACATGCATGCATGTGAACGAACTGGCGTGGCTTCAGCAGGGATGTACCATACCATTCGCTTTTGTCACGCGAATGAGCATGGAGGAGTGCCGGTGGGGGGCTGCGTCACTCGGGCAGCAACTGCGAACCTTGACCAAAAAAGCTTGGTCACGCCCGCTATAGACCCTTTCACTGTTTACCAACACAGGCCCTTGATAACATCCGGTTTCGTCCACTAATGTGCCTTTTTAGCATCGGTGGGCAAGACGAGCTTTAGAAAATATCGCGGCGATTTTCTACAGCTTTCTTCGCTAATCTGGCAAAATATTTCCCAAATAAATGTATTTTTGAGCAACATAATAATAGAAGATACTCCATTCTACCATACGCACGTCGCTTTTATCTGAAAAACTACAGATATATTTTCATTACCCTTGAAAAAACTTGAAAATGTGCTGTCACTTTCGACGTTAGGAGCTGGTATATATGAGGTGACCGGAAGGTTTTTGGGGTACAACGCTCGCGATCTTGAAAGCGTCTATATTGGCAGAGATCAGTAGCTGGCCTCTACAAACGTATACGTGTTGTGCTGTATGTGCTTACTTCGCGTCGAGGCGACAAACATCACCAAAACCACTTCGTTCCCAGGTATTCCATTACGTCAGAGTTCCGTAAGGTTTACGCCAAATCGAATTCTAAAAGAGCGTCCTTTGACACTGCATGTAGCCCTCCGATTTGTTGCTATTTCATTCACTGATTCGTCCTCGCTGCGAGAAGCGTTTTGTTCACCTCGGTTCTGGGTACTAAAATGGCGGAAAATCTCATTCCAGGCTCATGCGATACAGATTTGCATTGTGAATTGATACGTTATCACGATATCGATTTACATGTAACTTGCTGCGTTGCGGAGCCTGCTGTAAATATCGATGAAGCTAGTCCACGGAACGCACGATGTGGTTCATTTTAAACGGGAATGAACCCCAACGTGTGGCTCTCACATTTCTGTCATGGTAGATGCCTTCCAGCACCACCACATACGTCCTTCGTTACATAACATGTAAGGGCGATCAATCGCCAGAGGGAAAAACACAAATAAACAAACAAATAAATAAATAAATGTTTGATTCGTCATGCACAGCTGTCATTTTCGCGAAACCTTGTCCCCACCACCTTCCTGTTCGTGCTGTTCTCAACAGGCACTGTGGTAAAACGTATTACAAAATGGCGTAGTAATTCGTTCCTTGATCAGCGTAACACACTCGCATGGTACATATTGCAGTGAAGGGCTAACAAAAATACGGTATTTTCTTAGGCATTGAAAAGCGCTTTTTAAACGTGGATAAGGACAATCACCAACGTCGTAAATATGGGAAAAATATTTCTTTTTGCGCAAGTGTAAATAACATCAAATGAAAACACACGGGACCTGAAGGTACGACACGAAACCCCCGAAAAATTATTTCATTTATGATAGCACAAGTGCACCAATAGGGTTAAATAACCGTGTACTTGGCCTTTGTATTGTTCGGTTTGCATTATTCGTTTATGCTGCAGCATGATGAGTCAAGTGTCTACTGTCGAATCAACCTACTTCTAGGGGTGCTTCTTTTCGGCATGAGTGCAGATGATAACAGGAGGCAAATAGCCAGACTACTATAAGACTAGAAGGCATGCAGGGATGCCTCCTATCGGCCATTTTGAATAGCGCGAACGAAGTTTATTTTCAGGCGCTTAACATCCTAAAAAAATTTAATTAGAAACGAAGGAAAACCCACGTCCACTTCTTATTCTTGTAGCAACGTGACGGCCCCCGACGCAGACGTAGCTTCATCATCTTTGTCAAAAGCCCTTCTGTCGCCGGTTAACACCTCCTCGCGGACTCGCTCAAAGTTTTCTTGAAACGTGCGCCAATTTGCCGGCCGCGGGAGTGTGTTGCAAATAAAGGAGAAAGAAGGGGCGGTGGGTACGAGCACGAGCGGCGGGCGCTGGCTCGTTCAGTTGTTCTTTTGACCTTCGGTGTAGTCAGACAATCGTGTCTGAGTCCCCTTCTTCGTTTCTCAGACGGCTCTCGTCATCTTTTTCTCTCGCCGGCTGGCCGACACTAGCACTACGCTACATTCTCAACTCTCACCTGACGGCTCTTGCGCTTTCGCATTTGCCAAGCGCTTGCGCCTTGTCAGCGCGGGGGCGTGGGCTGGTCAGCGCATCCCACTTCACTGTTGATAGCGGTTGTTTTCCGAAGCTGGTTGAACTAGAGGTGTAGCGTACGTAGCCCGGTAATTTGAATAATGGTTCGAAACTACACCCGAAAGTGAAACATGAGGCTGGATAGTATTCTTCAGGCTCTGATTTTTAAAATGGGCTTTTACACACATTTATGCACATTTAGGCACAAACACCAAATCAATCATTTATAAACACTATAAAACACTATATACGTCCCTTTTAGGCACTACTTAATGCTGATAGGTAAAATGGAGGGGATAGTAGCAAATGAAACAAAATAGACATTTGCTTAAAATTCAGCCCCTATTCATCAGCTGTAGGTATGTAGAACGAGAAGTGTAGCGCAAGGAAGCAGCATGCCGCTAGGTATCTCAATGGCCAAAAAATACGATTCCGTAGAAATCCGGCAATTTCCTAAGTTGTTAATGTGTTTTCATGCTATAATGGCTTTTCTTAGGTTTCTTCTAGATGCAGCGAGTGATCTCGTATTTCGTAATGGTTGTCGCCGTCTTGTTGTCTTAAGAAGCACTCAAAAATTCCTGCTCAACGTATGTCGCGATATCAATGAAAGAGGGACAACTTCTCGGAAACGGCCAAGGTTGTGATATCGACAGTTATAAAGAGCGAAATAAGTGTGCCCATTACGTTCTCGAGCTACACGCGAAATACTTTTCAGTGATATGATTTTTGGGTCACCTTCGTACTTGCATAATGTGTTAGAATATTTGTATTGTTCAAAAATGTTATAGCTAACGTGTATAGCAAATAACGTAAGGTTGTGTTGATTTTAGCTCATCAGACGAAGTGCACATGTTCACATCAGCGTGCGCTCAAGGACAGTGCTCAGCCCTCCATTCTTTCCTTTGTAAAAGATCTGAGAAAGATATGCTAGCTGAAACAGCCATGAGAACATTCCTCCGATGTATATCTCAAGTTTTACAGCGGTACGTTGTGTCTGTGTTCTTGGGCTACCATTACCTCCAAGAGAGATTGAGAGCGAAGGAGTGGAGGGATGAACAAGAGATGGGAGGTGATATGGTTAACCAGTGTATAGTGCGTGATTGGGTACTCTAAACTACACTTTAGTTCAGGTTTACTCTCGAAGGTCTTACCTTCAAATTCAGTCAGCCTTTAGGAAGTAGCTAAACCCTATAATAGGTGTCTCTGTGCTTGCTGAGGACTTAGAGTATTTTCGAACGACCGCAATCGCACGTGTTGTGATGCGCAACCGTGCAAAGCGGTGGGCAGACACGATCTCAATATGTGGCGCTAATTTTGGCTGTTTTGCAGGCGTTTCCGGCCTTGGTGGCGCTCGAGATAGCATTCGCGGCCTACAAACTGGCCGCCGATGAAGCTTCATCGCGGGTGCGCGATTTCAGGCTGCCATACCTGGAATCCTACACAGGCGACCAGATTTTCTTCATCACATACAGCCACGCGTTGTGCGGTTCCAACTCGGGGAGAGAGCGCTCTAACGCTCCTCTACGACACTTCCAACCTTTTCTCAGTGCCTTCACGTGCCCACCGGGGTGTCCGATGAGCGTATCTGAGAAGTGTGAATTCTTCCAAGCCTCCTATAGACGTTGACTATACTCGTTAACGCAATTTTTTGTTGTTTATGCAATGTTCGTGCGCTGATATGGTTGCGCCATTAATTTTGCATAATTAAGCTGATCTTGCGTGGTTGCAAAGAACTGCTTGTTATCCGTTGTGTGAGTGTGAGCATGCGTCGTTGAAGTTTGCGCGGGCGGATTGCCTATCGATGTATAGACAGTAGAAATACATCTGATCTATTTCGACTCGACGGTTAAGTGATGCAACCTTTGTGGCTTTTTCTTGTTCACTGCCGTCGACTAGTCATGTAGAATCTGCCATTTTGGTTAGCAACATTTTGTTTAGCCTGTGCATTCTTAAGCGTGCAATCACTTCATCATTTGCGGTGAATGCAAGAAACTTTAAAACGAAATTTTAAGGAACATTAAGTGAGACAATGAAAGAATCATTGTAGCCACGATGGAATGCCTGGTAAACGAGAAAACGAGCGCAAAAAAAAGAAACAAGAAAAAAAGAAGGGTGGTTACCGCACACTGAAGCTCTCACATACCTCGAGGTACATCACACGTTTTGACGGCGTTGTGTTAATGTTTTCACAACACTCTGTCGGTAATGCTGAATAAAATTTTTATGTAATGAAGCATCGATCGAACGTGACCAAATGCCTAAACGTTTTAATCAAGTGACTTCACGCGCTGATATTCGGGCACTGAAGCTTTTGTGCGAACGTAATAACATCAGCGCTTTCTTTTTATATTGACTGACAATCAAGGTCTTGAAAGAGCACGCGGCCGAAACATAGCGTGCTTTCACTGAGTATAGGACGTTAAATTAGCAAGGAAAATGCTTTCTTTTATCTTTTATTAGTTGTATTCGCCTCGAAATTTTCAGTGGCGCCCTCGCTTGTGACGTCTGAGAGAGGACTCGCCTTCACGTCACGCGCGCGCTCACTATATACGTGAAGATTGCACGACTCTGCCGCTCGGTCTCTCCAGCTCGAGTGGATGGATGAAGAACTTCATTGGGGTCCTGAAGGATTTCACCCCCGTTTCATTGGGTAGGATCACTGGCCGTTCCCACGTAGTTAATGAAAAAACATTAGTGGGCATGTTCATAAAGCGATTTGTTCGGAGTGGTCAAGCGTAACGTGCAGTGAAATCTAGCGGAGTCGCTGTCGGTAGCAGGCTGCAGCGTCGATTGCTCCTGGTGTTGTCTGTCAGTCATCAATGTGCAGAACTGCGTGTATAGCGAGGATTTCTTTTCGCGACTGTTCTATGGCTGCAGTGCGCTGAAAATGAAGTTCCAGCCTGTTTACAACCTCTCACTTCAACGTTCGGGCTTCGGCTTCCTTGATTTTACGTGAACGTGCGATATCACAAGCTGCGCGTATTCAGTTGCCAAGCCTGCTCCGTCAGTTCAGTAACTCTGTTTTGGAGCTTTGAACGAGAGCGAAAAGCGACGTACTGTGACGTCATTCAGATGAATTGAATGGTCGTTACGGGCAACAAGCCTTGAATAAATTTTCAGCAGTTTTCAGCAGCTGCTGTGTAAGCGCGTCGCAAGTAGCTGAAGTTTAAACAAAACGTGAAAAGTGATGGCAGCTCGTGTCCAAAGGTTGCGCACGGCAGTGAGATGAAAGATTTCTAGGTTGTGTGGTGACTTATAATTTTTACGACGTTTTAAACCCACCATGATAGATCGACGTTTGCTGACTCGTTCACGGTCATCTGAAAGGATGCTGAGAAGAATTACTGTAATTATATCAATGCAGATAAATACAAAGCTTTCGTATCGAAAGACCTGATAAGAAGCATTTGCAAGTAAATAGTAGAAATGACAATCAAGGTGTCGTGTGATCACTGTACTGAAGACCCATAGCGTTCCTTATGAATTTGACTAAGATCACAGAGTTTCTTAAAAGAACACTAGAGGGAACTCTGGCGCTAGTGTATATGGGAACCACGATGCTTCAGCGAGCATGGGAATGATGGGTAGTACATGAATTTGCCTAATCTTTGTACTTTCGGCGCCGATTGGCTTCGAGTGCCTTGGAGCTGCTTTGTGACGAAACAACAATCAGCAAATGATCTGTGGTTGCACTTTACCACCCTAACCTCTTAGGCTCACCAATTCAAATCGGGTCATAGAATTGATAACCGTCCGTTCTTTTCATTCGAAACAAAACCAGAACAAAGCAATAAACTAATGCACATGTGCGTTCGAGGCCCGCAAGCACGAAGACTAGGCAAATCCATGTACTACCCATCATTCCTATGGTGGCTGAGTGATCGCAGTGCCAGGGTCCCCTCTAGTTATTTTTAGGAACTTTATGCTTAAAACAATGATGATGATTATGACCTCAGATGGATGGCACTCACCCACAAAGCAATATGGGCTAAGAACCGGGTGGCAGGTTACTTAAACCAAACTAAGAAATCGGTTTAGAAATAAACCTGGGAAAAATACAAATGGTTGCTGAGGAAGCGGTCAAACTATCTCTTGTTCCCGATAGACATAACTACAAATTATAAACTGAGGATCTGAAAACGTAAAGATAGACTAGCACGACAATCTTATTGTTGCCTCAGTGCAATCAAACACAGTAGAGCATACATCCCTGCGGCAGTATCCTAAAGAAGTGCCGCCAAGTGGTAAAGATACTCTAGGATTAGTCAAAGGTGACAGCAGTGTTCTTTTTTTTTCATATGTTGTACTGCTCTTTCGCAGCCTTTCTCTAAATGCTTTGTGGGCGTAATGCGCTTTTGTACGGCCCCCAGAATTGAAGGCATTGGAATTTTTCTACACATCACCTGACTGTGCGTTGACTCCGTGATTGGCCCACTGATCACCGAGGCAACGCAATACGACGATGGGATATGACGACACCGTCATTTGACGTGCATTACGACGTCACAAAGTTTGGTGGTCTGATATCGCGATAACGTAATATATAGTGACGTCAGTCAACACGTGACAATTTTTGTCATCACTCGTCGGCATCGGCGCCGGACATCGTCAAACAATTCTCACGTTCATTTAGAAATAAAATTGCCTTAAAATATTCATTATTGTTACAGCGTTGTAAACAATGCCAATAACCAGCCAAAAGGGCCAAAGTAATGCTGCGTCTGGGCATCTGGCGTGACAAGACCTCAGGTATGCTCAAGGCTTCAGAAAGCTGCGACGTTGGTATCAGTGTACCTCAATGAACAGGGTCTGAAAACCTCGGCAGCGAAATGCGCATTGATTGCTTTTAGTCGAAAGCTAATGAGACCACCATACGCTATATCTATCGACGGCCAAGTCATACCAATGTCAGAACGAAGATTTCTAGGCGTATTCCTTCATAGACCCCTGCTGGGGCCCACATGTGGCCCGCTTGAAGAAGAGGCTGACAGACAGTGCTAACTTATTCAAGTATATTGGAGGAAAACCCTTGGAAACATCAGTACATGTAATGATTCAATTGTACAGGACGCTTTTTCTCGGCTGTTTGCGGTACAGCTTGCCTGTGTTGACCAATACTTGCAGAACCAGCATTCACACTCTCGAAAGCATCCAGGCTATGGCTCTGCGAGTTTGTCTGGGGCTACCGCGATGTCCGTCAACCGCTGAGACAATTGCGATTGCAAATGACTACCCACTCAAGACAGTGCGGCTTGCGATCATTGCTGCGATGAAACGATAGAGCACGTTCTCTGCCACTGCCCTCGTTACAGCGCGCAAAGACGGCAGTTAGCTGCTGCGTTAGCTTGCCTTGACGACAGACCTTTGTCAGAACAATCAGTGCTTGAAAGGCGACATGATCTGTCTTCGGACAGAAAATCAGTGAAGGCCTTATTGAAGTTCTTGCGTGGTATTGTGGCCTACTGAATAGGCGATATCACTCCAGCTCACTTTTTTTTCGCTCGTCTGTTTCGCTCTTCGCTTTCTTTCCCATCTTTTCCCCCATTCTCCCTTCCCTTAGTGCAGGGTAGCAAACCGGATTCTCAAATTTCTGGTTAACCTCCCTGCCTTTCTCTCCTTTTATTCTCTCTCTTGGAAGGGCCTTTCTTTTTCCTTCTTTATAGGAAACCGTCGCCAATTTTTCCTGCTGTTTACCAAAGCTGTACTCACGATGTCAAATGAAATAGGAACTGCGGAGCACAGATTCGAAGCATTAGGAACTGTATGGTGCGCGCCGTCCTGTCATCGTCAACAGGCTGGCACGCCTTGCGCGGTCGAAAGCATGAATGTGGCTTGCAAGCGACAAACCACATGAGTGTGCTGGCATTTCATTCGTAACCGATAGTACGTGTAAGAAGTTTTAATGCACATCCAACTCGCCCACACTATACGCTAGTGTCCGCAATAATGCGCTGGTCTATAATGCTGTCAATTTTATTTTGTCTGGAAACATGTTGTGAGCATCGATCCATATACTACTAAAGCTGTGGGGGGAGCGTTAATTTCCGATTGACTCAAGTCTGTTCAAACAACGCTAACTTTCGCAAACAAGGCGTAAAATTAGTCGTACTTCATTTCCAAAGCAGCGTAGACTCTCTTACGTTCTCGGCTAGACGTGCGTGCTTTCACGTAAGCTATATATTTCAACGTCATCCAGCCTTGTGACGCTACGAACTCAGAGGCATGACCCAGCCCATGGTGGCTGTGTTTATCTATAGAAGATATGTTAAATATTAACGTTTTAGTGCTAGCAGTCATCCTGTAATGCTAGCAGTCATCAAAAGAACTATCATTAGAAGAAAATAAGACCAGTAGTCGAGGAAAGCCATGTGACGCAATTGAACTAAAACGAAAATAACACTGTTCTAGCCAGAATCTACAGGACAAAAAAAAAGTCAAATCACCCTTTTTGCGTCACTGGATGGATGGATTGATATGGCTCTACCCTGTAGATCAGGTGGCGGCTAACGCCACCTATAGCCGTAATACCGAGTGAACAAAAACTAGATTGATCTTTTTTCCCCTTTAAAGAGTAAAGCACTGGCTCGCTGCAGTGAATAATTTAATTTTCACACGTGCCTTGATGTAGCCGTCATTCAGATGACCTCCTCCTAGTTATTTTTACGGGCTTAAAGTCTATTTTACCCTTCGTGTCTATAAATAGCAGTGCTTTGAATAACACTGCTCCGTCATCCTGAACTATAGGGTGATGCCCTTTACAGAACGTTATCGAGTGTTCGGCAGTTTCATCCTCCTACTTTCCACACGCACTGAATACTGTGTTTACCCCTTCATATTTGGCCGATAAATCATGGTTCGCAATACTCCCGTTTTGGCCTTAGACAGTAGAAAACTACCGCGAGAATTATCATACATGCTTTTCTTGGCAATTTCCTACTTAGAAGTTTGATATATCTCTAGTGCCGACTTCTTAACCATGCCTATACTCCACATTTCGGCCTTCGTTTCTTTCAACTTCTTAACCGAATGTGTGTGTTTTTTTGTTTGGCCTCCTGCTGTTTTTTGAGTATTTGCCCATAAATTTTCTGGTTCGCTTCCTCTATTTGGTATCGACATTCCTCATGTACAAATGGCTGAAAACCTTCCTAGCCCAACGTTCCTTCGCCTATTTCTCTCAATCGCCCCTCAAATTTTATCTTGCTGCGAGCTTCCCTGCCCTCGAATGATGTCCGTCCCATATCACCTTACACTCCTTGATTTTGTGTATTCTCGTGAGCTCTTAAGGCAAGCCTACCTATTCCACGTTGCTTAATTTCTAATCTTGCTTGAACTTCTGATCTCATGCACAAGACTGCATTGCCGAACGTCAGACCAGGATTCATGACCCCTTCCCATATACCTCTCACAACATCACACCTATTGTAATTCCACAGTGCCCCATTTTTCATCACCGCTGCACTCCTGTTACATTTAGTAGTTACGTATATTTTGTGTTCCCTTAGGTACGCAATTCCATTGCTTATCCATACGCCCAGATATTTGTATTTATCTGTTATCTCTAGCGTGACCGTCTGTATTCTATAGCTCTCACTACCTTCATTATTGTTAAGAATCATGACTGCTGATTTTCTCTTACTGAATCTCAAATCTAACCTATCTCCTTCATTACCGCAGGTGTCTATTATACCTGCCGATCCCCGTAAAGTCCCTGGATATTTTGAGGAAAGTACCGCCGTACTTTTAACCGAGCCGCCACGCCGCCATAGTCCTCCTCTCCCGCCTCTCGGGCCGTGACGAGCATCGCAAGTGTTATCAGCGTGACATAGCATTATTGATAGGAAAGTGGCACAAGCCCGGTTTAATAGATTAGGTTTGGATAGTTTAGGCTTAATAGATTAGGTTTGGATAGATTAGGTTTGGATACTTGGGAGAGGAGGGTCGTACACTTCAGAGAGGACGGTTGAACACTTTGGAGAGGATATGCAGGAGAGTGTCGCTACTTTCTCTATATTAGGGGGCTTTAAATCCCCGCTGTTCGCAGCAACGCGTCACACAGGGTATCGTGGCCTCCGAGATGGCGCAAACCCGTTATGCGCCGGCCATCTCGGAGGCCATGAAGGTATGCACGACGTTATTCGCGAGAAGTGCTCACTGCATGGTCGCCATTTAGAAAGTCCTCGCATTCACTGCACGGTCAAAAAAAAAAAGAAAAGAAGGCAGATCCCACGTACAACGGGAACCGATGATATGCGAAGCACGAATTAAGAAGGTTGATATGTCACTTTAAGATTCGCACAACATTACGAGGCGGAGGCAAATTATGCCGTGCATGGCATCCACGTCACGATTATCATCTTTGGACGTGTCATTTGCCTTCGTCATCTATTCACTTCACCTGATACCAATATTGGTATATCTGGAACTAGTGAAACGACCGCGAGCACGCTATAAGCGTAGCGTGCAGTCATGCTTTACATGACACGCATATCATGATTATGATGTTTGGAAGTGTCATATACCTTCGTCATCCATTGACGTCACGTAACACCAGATTTGGTATATGTGGAGCAAGCGAAACGGCATCGAGCGCATCATGAGCGTGGCATGTAGCCTTGCCGTTACATGACACGCATCTCATGATTATCATCTCTGCACCAGTCACATACCTTCGTCGCTCATTCACGTCCCGTAATACCGAATTTGGTACATGCGAAGGTCGCGAAACGGCGGCGAGCGCATTATGAAGGGCCGAATATACTCCGACGTAACGTTCACGCACGCCGGGTGCAGCGACACTACTCAAGCAAAACGCGAGTTCTGACGCCAGGCGCTACCGGCGCGACCACCGTCCGTCGGCGCGGCCCGGCGGCAATCGGTTCGAAATGTAACCTGCTGTATTTCGCGCCTACAACGCCACCCAGACATCCAGACAGCACTGCGTCACAGAACACCTACCTGACAGCGTCTGCCTCTCTTCGTGAGGGAGGGACACTGGGCGCGTTTAAACGCGCAAGCATCAAAGCAACGCAGCGCGGGGCGGGCGGAGTGTACTAGAACACTGTCGCGCAGGGTCTGCGAGTATACGGCTGACCAATTGGCGCCTGGCACGGCATCGCCGGCGTGACGCGACGAAATGAAGGCCGTCGCGCAGGTGCACCGTGTCACGTCAAGGTGTATTGGCTCCTTGAGTGTGGTTTGTAGTCATGTTATTACATGACATGCGTCTCATGGTTATTATGTTTGCACCAGTCACATACCCTCGTCGACCATTCACGTGACGTAATACCAAATTTGGCATATGTGAAACTAGCGAAACGGACGCGAGCGCGTGATGAGTGTGGCATGTAGTCATGTTGTTACATGACACGCATCTGATAATTATCATGTTTGTACCAGTCACATACCTTCGTAATTCACGTCCCGTAATTCCAAATTTGGTATAAGTGACGCTAGCGAAACGGCCGTGAGCGCATGATGAGCGTAGCATGTAGTCATGTTGCTACATGACACGCATCTCATGTTTATCATGTTTGCACCAGTATCATACCTTTGTCATCCATTCACGTCACGTAATACAAAATTTGGTATAAGTGAAGCCAGCGAAACGGCCGCGAGCGCATCATGAGCGTGGCATATAGTCATGTTTTTACATGACAGGCATTTCATGATGATCGAGTTGGCATCGGTCACATACCTTCGTAATCCAATCACGTTCCGTAATACCAAATTTGGTATATGAAACGGCCGCGAATGCAGTATGAGTGCAGCATGTAGTCATGTTACATGACATGCATGTCACGATTTTCATGTTAGGGTCTGTCGCTTGTGTTTGCCATGCAGTCATGTCATATCATACCAGTTTTGCAACATGTGATCTGAACGAAACTACCGCAAGAGCAGCAAGACCATAAAATGTAAATTATGAGATTCATTACATACAAGTCATCATTTTCGTGCTATGACTAGTTACTTATGCTTGTCATACAGTTATGTTATGCCATAGCAATTTTGGTATTGATACTATTATCGAAACGGCCAGGAGAGCTAAAAGTCGTAGGCGGCTAGATAGACATACGCTCAAAATCGCCGAAGTTCGCTAAGCAATGCTTCGCATTAAAAAAAAAAAAATCTCTGCACGAGCTTCGCTTGACATCTTTATGACAGCTTGGATGACTACAGACCACTGGAACACTTCGTGCAAGCCGACGGACAGCACGGACAGCCCACAGGAACGGACCTAAAAAATGGCTAGGCGATCTTGTTGCCGTCTCGATGCTTAGTGCATACCCCCTACAGCGGAATGAGGAATATACAGCTCAACGGTTATCTTTACAGTCTTTTATAAAGATAAGATGAACGATGACAAAAAACGATACAATACTTTGAAATGAGCTCCACAGGTCACATTCGACGGAAATCGTGGCACTTTCAAACGTTACTTCGGAATAAGCTCGGCCAATTTGGCTCCTACGGTGCCATCGCGCACGTCAGCAAAACGTTCGAAGAGGGAGTAGTTTAAAATTTTCGGGTCGACAACGAACGACTTCTCCGATAAGTACTGGTACCACTGCTCAGCGTTGAACGCCTTGGGCATTTGGCCGATGTCTCTGGGAGCATCCGCTTCGTCGACCGTCTTGAGCGCAAGCGGAACAAACGTGCATCGCCAATAGCACTTCAAGTGAGCGTAGGCGAACACCACAGCATTGATGGTCGCATCAGAGAGGTCACATTCGTGCGTGATTCTTGACTTTTGAGCTTGTTTTACACCCATCAGTGAAGCCACAGCGTTGCACCAATAGTGAAGCAAGGGGTTTGCCGTCGCCGAGTACGGAGAACGTCGCGAGAGGCCGAGGTCACTCAGGTAGGGCGCGTAAGAGTGCTCCTCGAACAGCTCTTGACCTCTTGCACCAGTCACACCTATTTCGCCCACGATGCGCTCCAGAAAAACCCACCGGAATAACTCTGACGGTGTTAGATGGGTTACTTTGCACAGACGTCTGATGTCGTCGAGAACGGCACAGTGCTTGTATCTCGACACATGCGTTCCGGCCCTCAAGACCGCCTTATCGTGACGGCTAAAACGGTTGAAGAACATGTCCAAAGCAGCGATCATTGACAGGTAGGACCTGTCTTTAATCCAGTGGCCGAATTTGTGCTCTGCGCGCTCCAAATACGTACTACTGCAGCGAAAAGTCTCCAGGATGCATTTTAGGTTGTTGTCCCGCAGGCGTTGTATGTAATTTTGCCTACCACCATGGCACTTGGCTACGAGAAGACGGTAGATGCACACTACGAGAGCGAGGAGACCGGCGCGATTGGGCGCGTTGTCAACGGCCGTTGTTTCTGTGTCGACAGGGTATTCCGATCCCATCTGTTCCGTGATGGTCAAAAGGTCCCACGGCGATACTACTTCTCCTGCGCAGCCGATGGTCACGCCGAACGACTTCCAGTCTTCCATGAGCGTGCCCTTGATCTTTGCCCCTTCGACGTACATGAATTCTACGACGTACTCCACTTGCAAGCTGCCGGCAGCCAAGCCCGCAGACACGGCTTCCGCGAGGCGCTCGTCCGATGCGAAGCAGCGTTTCACGAGAGCGATAGGCTTCGATCCTGGATGCGCCGCGAACCATTCTGATGGGTACTCCGGGGGCGGACGAGCTGTTGGCTCGCCCAGTGCTCGGGAACAATTCCAAACATCTGCCGGCAAGGCCCAATCTTCTTTGCGGCGATCACTCGGGGCCATGTCGGTCGCACACCACACATATGCCACGTGGCAGGGAGTGAAGTGACTGATCAAACCAACGCCTCCTCTAGGAAGTTGCCTGTCGCATGAGAAAAAAAAACAGCTGCCACACCCTTTTCCTCCTTCACTTCGAAATGTTCGCGGTCGCTAGCGTCACTTGTGGCGGACGGTGCAACAACGCAACACTTTGCATTGCCTCAAAAACAGTGGTGCACAGTTGCAGGTCTCGAACAACTCTCGACTTACACGCCCCTATGGGCCGCAGATGAAAAACGCTTAGCTCGTACCGCCCGTCGCCGTAATAATAGTGCCGGTCGCGAGCGCCACCGGGCGGAGCTTGTTTAAAGCTGAAGGCAGGCCAACTCCGCTGGGAGCGCGAGCCATTCCTCAGGCATCTTTCTAGAGGAGGCGTTGACCAAACGGAGACGGAAGTCCAGTGTACTAGAAAGGCAGTGGAGTGAACGAGGCGGCCGCGCCGCATCTCGGCTGAATCTCCGGCGGGTGACAGTAGCAACGGCGCTGTAGTCGCATCACACTAAAGATCTCAAGAGCGTCTGCATTGGGAGCGCGCGTGCCCGAGCCTGCAAAAGCGTGTAATTGCTCGTTTTTAGCGCATTTAATGCGTTTATGAGCCTTTATCAGAGGACGCACCTGCAACGCGCCAAGGTACACGAGTGAATATGCAGGCATGCCAAAATTGCGTCGAGACATTGACTGTTTCAAGAGCCCGCCGACCCAGAACAACAACAACAACAAAAAAAAAAAAGTCGAACGGAATTTGCACGGATCCGCCTAGCTTCTTACTCAATCAGCGCTTTGAGCTGTGTTACGTCATAAGTGGCTACTGGCAAACTGCAAAGAGATGAGAAGTATCAAAACCTCGATTAAATCATACGCTTGTTTTGTCGGCAGTCTCTACGATATCCAGAGCAGAGTGTTCCTCATATTAGCCTACATGCACTCGATTGTTTCACGAGAAACACGAGTATAAGTAACGTTGTCACAACATTAATCGGTGACGACTATGTTTTATCATGCCAGTTTTGCGGAAGATAATAATTATTGGTTTCCGAAATGCCTAATACATATTAAACTTATTAAAACGACACACAAGCATATTAAAAAGTGCCAATTGTATATATAGCTTGTCTCTTATTCTGCGTAAATACATTGTAACCAGTTCTCATTTTATATCGACAGCTTATATTGTGTTGCTTTTCAAATATTCTATTGGCGTAATGCCTTTGCAAGCGAGCAAATTTACGACGATGTTTTGAATTATAAGTGTAGTTCTACTATTATTATCAACTGTGTAGGTAGGCAGTGGTGCATCTTATTTGGGAAATTTACCTTCCACATATATGTACACAGTAAACACACACACACACACATTATATATATATATATATATATATATATATATATATATATAATATATATATATATATATATATATATATATATATATAATATACCATGCAATGTCCGTAGCACAGCTACTATTTTAGGCGGTGCACTTCTCGTCCGACTACATGAGACTTAAACTAGTTTTGAGACCTGAAATCTATAGTGCGCATTTGTAAAGACACGCTATATTCAGCTTCGCCAACTATAAACTACTGGCGCAAGGCTACCCATGGCAGATTTCTTTTTTTTTTTTTTTTGAGGGGGTGGGGTGTGCAGCAGAACGCCTAACTTTGGCACTTCGTGGTTGCTGTGAATGCGTATAAATATTTTAGAATACCCTGAAAAGTTAAATTACGAAAACATTACGTGGTGTAGACGGCTCAGATTCTCTTCCTCTACCCTCTTTACTTATGGCTTTCTCGTTCTGCGTGCATGCGACACAGTATTTGTTTTTTTAATCCCACAGCTTTCTGACTACAGCTAACTTCAAATAAATCGGCTCAGTTATTCTGAATATTGTGGACGCCTAACCAACGAAGAAAGAGTTAGGCGAGAAGAAACAAGTATTAGACACACCCTTTTTGAATTCTGTCCACCTTTTCTAAGGGTTTAGAGAAGGTGATCTCAGCTAGAATCAATGACTTTTTTTAAAGAATAACATTCTGTCTGACTGTCAGCACGAATTCCGCCTAGGCAGGTCTACAGAGACAGCATTGTTATGTCAAAAGGAGCTAATAATTGATAACATTGATGCAGGAAAACTAACTTTAGGTATATTTATAGACTATAGCAAGGCATTCGATCGCTTAAATCATGAAATTTTAATAAGAAAGCTTGACAGCTACGGTATTCGGGGCGTGGCAAACTTGTTGTTTCGATCATATCTCTCCGGGCGGACTCAGTGCATTGCTATTGAAAATTTTTGCTCTTCATATCGCGAAATTAAATCGGGAGTACCACAGGGTAGCGTATTGGGACCGACCTTATTTAATGTCTATGCAAATGACATTGCTGACATTGTTAGTGATGCATCCATTGTGCTGTACGCTGATGATACAAGTTTGTTTGTCTCTGGCCATTAACTGGATGATCTGTCGCAGAAATCTCGCAATATTCTTTTTAATCTGTCGGCGTGGTCTCGTAATAATGCTCTAAGAATTAACAGCTCAAAATCGAAAGCCATATTGTTCAGGGGGACAGGCAGCCAATCTTGTTTCAATCAAGAATTATTCTTAGACGGTTTTCCCATTGAAATTTCGAGGAAATACAAAGTGTTAGGCGTTACGTTTTCAGAATACATGAATTGGACCGATCACGTTGAACTAATATCAAAATCGTTGTCATCTGCCGCTGGTGTGCTGTCTCGCTGTCGGCATTGTTTTCTCCTGAGAAGGTAAAGTTGTAAATATATTACGCCTTGTTTGAATCGCATCTTCACTATTGTGCGCTTGTATGGGCCACCACCACGAAAGCTAATATTCGTACACTTCTTCAACTTCAAAAACGTGCGCTTTGACAAATAGCCAATGTACTCTATTTTCATCCTAGCGCTCAACTTTTTCAAAACATAATATAATACGTGCAACAAATCTTTACGAATACCGACTTTTATATTCATTTTGTTTCGGCTCCGACAATATCAAATCCTTCCTAAAACATACGTCACGACTCGAACACAAAAGAGTGACTCGCGCACTCGTAGCCAAGACAGGTGGTTAGTACCATTCAGACGCACAAATTATCTTATGCAGTCACCATGACATAGCCTACCTTCATTGTTAAATAAAGTGCAAAGGGAAACATTTAATCCGAATACTTTGACTCACAAACAAATTAGACAATACTTTTGTAAATCGGAATGAACATATAAAAGACATCGTTATTACATTTTCGCATTTTCTGTCATATTATATACTTCGCGCTCAGTGTTTCAATATACAAAGTATCATCATATTGTGCATCATAGTCATATTTATAGCAGTGCTCTTCTTAGTGTTGTAAATACTATTGTTTCTTATGTATCACAATGTATTATCACATCTCTTCTCACATATGTATTACATTTTTATGTTATTTTAAAGTACCATGTGTTCGTGGGAAATCACTAGTGTTATTCAACATGTTGCGAGTTCCCAGTTTCAATTAAAATGTTGTATTATATTTAGATATATGCTTAACATCTGTATTTATGTTGGTTTTGGTGTTACTGCTGCCATGTAAGGGCCTTCAGGCACATTTAAGTTGTACTATGCAGCTTTTCGCCTGAAGGACCCCCAACAATTTCGTTGGAAAATAAAAGCATTTCTGATTCTGAATTACTTTTGATCTCTCACAAGGGCTTTTATGGAGCTCAAATTCAGTAGATTCGCGTGTCATACTTCAAGGGCTATGACATCATGTGCTAGGCATGAATGATGGGCAGGTACGAAGAAATCTACATTAAGAAAGTGCGACGGAGGAGCCGAACCGCATAGCAGTTCCTGCACGCGGCGCGCGGCTCTTTCAGTACTAATGGATGGCAGCGCCGCAGCTGCAGGCAGCGCCGGAGGGCTCAGGCGGCGAGGCGCGGTCACGCCACTCATTACTTCCAGTACACTCTAACGGAAGTGGTGGAATGATGCACAATGTCGTTATTCTGATAGTGGAATATTTTCCCAACTTAGGCGTACCTACAAGAAGATCTAACTGTGGCGCGATCTAAAAATGATTATAACTACGTCAATAATAGTGCCATAATTGCAATGGGTAAATTAGCGGGTAATCTATACTTACAGCGCGTCGTTTCCTGTACCTTGCGAAATCGCTTCTGTGTCAAACTTTTCATTGCACCACGTTTTTGAGCTAGTGCTGCTATCTTGAGTCGACATCTGCACTTAGCTGCGCCTCTGAGATTGGCAATAAAAAGAATCAAGGAGGTTGTAATAAAACTCCTAGAGAGGGCAGAGGGGCTCTGTAGATGAAGCCGACGTGCCGCCATATTGCTCAGGGCAGAAAGTGGATGGGCGCATTGTAGCGTACGCGGCTTTCGCGTTGTTTTTGTGCTAGTAATGCGTGTGGTGCCTCTAATTGAACAAGATGGTTTTGAACAGGTCTTTGGTTACTTTTTGAGATGACGATTAATGGCTCTTCGGTCACATTTGGCTGCGGCAATCGTGTGAAACGGACACCGGGCACAGCTTTCGATGTGTAAGTAGGCATGCTTCACTCGCTCGCTTTTCCTCACATATTTTCGTGACTACGACTGCGCTCGCGAATACATGGATATCGTCTTTGCATCCGGTTGCACAGAGACACTTTGAATAATTTTTGTACGTTTCAGGATTTCCAAGACGTCATATTGCGCGGCACATGAGGGTGTGCTGTGAAGCGAGATGGTTAAGGGGAAAAAAATTACGGCTTATGCTCTGCTCCCATGAGACAGGGCAAATAACGAGACGACGGGCTTGTAACATTAGTACCGTGTTTGCATCGTTTTCATGCGCATTAAAAAAAAGCCAGAACGTGAGTGTGCCCAATACAAGTGAGCGCTTCGTTTTTGAAAAGTAGTTAGCGTAGCACCGGCTCTGCATTTTTGGGATTTCGAGTGTCTTATATTTGCATGAGCACTACACTCCC